GCCTCTACTACAGATGGTTTCTCTGTAATGGTTACTCACTATAGGTGATAGCTGCAGTTCTCAAACTTCAGTGTGCATGAGAATCACTCGGAGGGTGACTTAAACTACATATATATTGTGGGGCTTCACTGCCAGAATTTCTAACAGATCTGGGGTGAAGCTCAAAGATTAATTTCAACAAATTCCCAGGTGCTGCTGCTGCTAGTCAGGGGTTAGGAACCAACTTCAAGAACCACTGGTTATAGCATTCTGAAGATTGCCTTGAAGAGATTCTCAGACAAAAGAAACACAAATTTTACCCTAAACAGCATTGGAAGCAACATAGGTCTTTATTGAAATTTTCTTGAGGAAAGGACAGGGCTGTACATAAACTAGGGACAGCACCCAGCTAACTTCCTAAAAAAGAATTCCTAGATATTACTCCTCGCTTCAAAGTTCCCACTCTTCACTGTACTGACCGCATCTCTCTCTGGGTTATGAAACATTCTCTACATGTTAACTATATGGCGGACCACCTCTTACTTTCTCATTCCAGAAAATGCTGTAGAATGGAAGACAGAGGAGATACATTTTTACAGACATAACCTTGAAGTTGCTTTTGCTTACTGAGAAACAAGCCATTTGTAAATTTTTATTCTACAGGTATTAGGAACAAATTATTTGTGATCCATTTCAGTTTATGGAAATAATATAGATATAACCCCAGCCTCTGTTTTATAGATGGTGAGTCAGGGGCACTGAGGGACGTAAAGCTGTTAATATTTTACCCCAGAGAACTTATCTTTGGAATTCTTCATCCACTTCCTCCTCCTTCATTCTCACTCCTCTAGATCTTCATAAAAAGGGTAGTTTTATTTTTATTATTTTGTTGTTGTTGTTGAGACGGAGTCTTGCTCTGTTGCCCAGGCTGGAGTGCAGTGGCGTGATCTCAGCTCACTGCAAGTCCCGCCGCCTGGGTTCACGCCATTCTCCTGCCTCAGCCTCCCGAGTAGGCCACCACGCCTGGCTAATTTTGTTTAGTATTTTTAGTCGAGACGGGGTTTCACCATGTTAGCCAGGATGGTCTCGATCTCCTGACCTCGTGATCCGCCCGCCTCCGCCTCCCAAAGTGCTGGAATTACAGATGTGAGCCAAGGCACCGGCTAAAAAGGGTAGTTTTAAAGATGTGTGTGTCTGTATGTGTGCAATCAAGTGTGAGAGAGATTTCTAAAATCATACCTAAAGAAAAACAAATGAGAAAAACTTTATAATCACATTAATAACTAGTCTAGGAAAAAAAAGAGATGCTGCAACTAGATAATTTTATTTGAGTGGAGAGCCCAGCAAATAATTATCCACTTATTGAAAGATCAACCCCAGGGCTCATCAGAGGTTTTATTATTGGTTAATTTATTTTTTCCCATGAGATCTTAATTTAAGAAAATTACCTTGGGGAGTTTTTATTTGAAAAGATGCCATCTAAAATAAACTCAAGGTTTGCCTGTAGTTTCTCTGTGTTTAGAGTGTGAAATGCAGGCGTTAAGGTGTTACAGGATAAGTTGCTGCCAGTGGACTGCGGTAAAGGAAGGAATCAGGAGTACAGTGTGGTTGCCTGAGTAGGTTGATGTTCACTTAAGTCTGGAGCACTGTTTACCAAGGTTAGTGAAACTTCTAAATCAGAGACGAGCAATCCCACATGCCTACCAGGGCTGGGCAGGGAAGAGCAGAAAGTGAAGGCCAACAGGTGTGAGAAAATCAAGAGAAGCGACCACTGCGCTGCCCTAGAGAGGACAACTTTTCTTCAGACAGCAACTCTGACCCAGCCCCTGGGGTTAAAGGAAAAGCTGAAGGCCGGACGCGGTGGCTCACACCTGTAATCCCCAGCACTTTGGGAGGCCAAGGCGGGTGGATCACGAGGTCAAGAGTTTGAGATCAGCCTGGCCAATGTGGTGAAACCCCCGTCTCTACTAAAAATACAAAAATTAGCTGGGCATGGTGGAGCACACCTGTAGTCCCAGCTGCTTGGGGGGCTGAGGCAGGAGAATCGTTTGAACCCGGGAGGCGGAGATTGCAGTGAGCCGAGATGGCGCCACTGTGCTCCAGCCTGGCAACAGAGCAACACTCCATCTCTAAAAAAAGAAAAGAAAAGAAAGAAAAGAAAAGCTGGAAATCAGGATTTTGTTGTGAAATTTGATAATGGAGCTGTTAGTTTGCAACCTCTGTATTAAAAACTGCCATACCTGTTTCTCTTTCCTATCCAATCCTCCCCATAGACCTCTATTCCTCCATCCTTTTGAAACTTCAGCACTGCTGCCCACGGAGTTCGCTGCCCTCTGTGGAACCTTATCACTAACTATTGGAATCACTCATTGAATTTATACTGTTTTGTGATTTCTGTTTATATTTGAACCTTGAAATCATTGTTAAAATGTTTCTGTGTATCCTCAACTAGATTTTAGGTTTGTAAACTCTGAGCACAGTATCCAGTCTCATGGGTCTTTGGGTTCCCTGGAGTGGCTCATGCCTTGACATGTACAGAACAGGATGGCTGGCCCGCACTTAGGTAGTACTTACAGCGTGGCAGAGGCATTCACATCCTCACTCTCACTCAGTTCTTCCCATGGCTCTGGAAGTGAGGTCCACATCAGAGATGAGGAAACTGCAGCTCTGGAAGCCTAGTTGACTTAGAAGGCGGCCCAACCATAACGGCTGGCACTTGAAACTGACTTTGACTTTGTTGCTCTCTATGGTATGTAGACTACAGCTTCTTTGCTTAGTAAATAGGGGTTTTGAATGATGGATCCATGTTTGAATATTCAAATTGTTTGTATGGATTACTAAACATTCATCTTGTAAATTTTAGGAATGGTATTTGTTAAAGGAGCAATGCTAACAGTGAAGTCGATAGGTGAGATCTGATAGAAAAATATAACCTACCTCCTCTTAACCACAAGTAATTTTATAGGAACAGATTCAGCTGTATTTTCTAGCCAAATAAAGCATATTGTGTTGCATCAGGCAGAGCTGGAAAGCAGCATATATCTCACATTATATGTTTCACATGAAAGTTGATTTTTCACCATAATTTGTTATAGGATGTTGTGCAAACCTCCTGGAGCATAATGCAATATGGAAGGAAAACTACCAATTGCCTCTGTAGAGAAAAAGAGTTTAGGATTATACAAAATCTGTCTTGAGTATGCAGCTTTTACTTGAAATGCTGGCCAAAAAAAAAAAGGAAATGTATTTGTTTCTTTTAAAGTATTTATTAGAACTACCAGTTAATTGCTGTCTTTCCAGAAAGGGATGTCGAATCCAACATTTCAACATTCAGCCTCTGAATATACCTCAGAGGAGGATGGAGTCTCTTACTTGAGGCCACAGGGGGACCTTGCCATATGCAGGCCTCACATCTCCATAGAGTTAAACTTAAGGAGCAGAATTCAGAGTGCACTGCCATTATTTTATTCTTTTGAAACCTTTGGATTTTCCTGCCTCTCGATGTTGGGCCCATCCCAGAACTTTTTCAGTGACTTGATAGTAAAACGTCTTCCACATCCCTTTCGGTCACAAGACTTGTCTAAAATGTAATTCTTACATTAATATGGTGGAATAGCAAAATCTCTGATCTACTTTAGAATGAAAGCTTCTATTTTTTTCCATCAGTGGCCCACTTCAATTCAGAAGTCTGTAGTGGAGGGAGGAGGAGGGGATGCAGTTGGCTTCTGTTCCATTTCCTCACTTGTCACTTGTCCTGCACCCCTGGTCGCAATTACCTGTCAGGAGAGGGACACAGCAGAGTAGATGCAAGGACAGGAGAAGCCTCCCCTGACTGGAGCTGTGTAGTCTGGTGCAGGCCTTCTCTGGGGTGGAGACTGCTGCAGGCCGACCCTCTCCTAGAAAGGGCAGTTTTGTTCTTCTTCCACTCAGAAAGTCCTCCTGCAGTGCTCTGGGCTCAGACAGTGCCTCTCCTGTGCCTGGCCTCCTACATTTCCTCAGCCCCCTCTAAGTCCTGTAGATACGATAACCCTCCCATCTTTTCTTGATTATCTTCTGCAGGCCTCTTTGATTAAACTTGAGGGCAGGAAGAAGCAGTTCCTTTGTACATCCCTGGTCAGGGGTGTTATCACAAGAAATGCCACTGTATTCCAATAACTTTATACCCATGAGGTAGGTGTTGGGTTAAGGGTTACAAAACCAGTTTTCACCACTGCCTTGCAAGTCCTACCAAGGCATTCTAGAATCACAGACACCTGTTAATTTGTGTTTAACCTTTGGACCTTAACCACAACAGAGGTGGATGTAATGTCATCTTAATATTCTGTAGCATGTGCTAATCCTGCTCGGCACTTAGACATCTAGCTGTGGTCAATTTGAGTGTTTGTCTGGGAATTACCAGTTGTGTAGAAAATTGTTTGGATTATTCCTTCTGTTTCTCTCCAGTCCCTACCCTCTCCTGTCCCTCCCACAATGCTCCCCACCAGATCATGCGTTAAACTTTGCTTCATATTCTCTTACCCCTTTTGGAAAAGAGGCATTTTAACCACATTAGGGGATATCATTTGGTATCTAACTTCCATTTGCCATGTAGAAAACAATCTGAAGTTATTAAATTAAGAAACATTTTGAACTTTATGTCAGTTTCCATGAGAACATTAGCTAATATTAATCATTGAAAACAAGGCCGGATGCAGTAGCTCATGCCTGTAATCCCAGCACTTTGGGAGGCCAAGGCAGGAGGATCACTTGAGGTCAGGAGCTTGAGACCAGCCTTCCCAACACGGTGAAACCCCCTCTCTACTAAAAATACAAAAATTAACCAGGTATGTTGGCGAGCGCCTGTAATCTCAGCTACTTGGGAGGCTGAGGCAGGAGAATTGCTTGAACCCAGGAGGTGGGTTGCATTGAGCAGAGATTGTGCCTCTGCATTCCAGCCTGGGGAACGGAACAGAGCCAGACTTTGTCTCAAAAAACAAACAAAAAAAGAAAACAAAACAAAAAAAGAAAACAAAACAAAAAAATAGAAACAAAAGGAACATAACTACTCACCCCCTACCCAAATTCAAAAGATTCTCTGAAATTTGTCATATGCTTATTTAAGTGTCCCTAAAAACAGAGAGCTATGGTTCTGCTCGTTTCTGTTTAAATCTCCTAGTTTTGCCTTAAGCCATGAAGTTAACCTCAGAGCAGAGCCTCTCTCCAGTCCCTGCTCCCCAAATGAAAACCATGTGCTTTTGTGGGTTTTCTTTGTTTTTCTTTTTAAAGATCTTCTCCATTATTTAAGGAAGTTATTCCATAATACACAGGTCTTCAATAATAGAGTTCACACTGGCTTTTATCAATTAAGTCACAAATAGTTGTTCTCAGAAGCAAATTTAACTCTAGACATTTTTAAAGCTGATTGTAACACCCTGGAAAAACTAGAAACTTCTTGCGCGTTAGCCAAGTCAAACTGTACAAGACAATACGTGGAAATATGTGGATGAAACACTTAATAATACTTGCACAGTTCTTAGCCATACTTTTCTCCTTCCATGAAGGCAATTAATCAGTCTGAACTCCCACGCTGGGTAGTGCCACTTCTGACCCTGGTTTAAATGTAGAAATATGTAATTCATACTGAAGTTCTATCATGTTCCTAAAACTCAGCTGCAAATCACAGGTCAGTACACAGAGTGAATGTGGTTTCTCTGCCCTCCACTTGCCAGGAGTTAAGGTTGTATACGGGAAAAAAAAAAAATTGTAAGGGTGTGACTTGGATTATAAAAATCACACTTTTAATTCTACTGAAACATTATTTAAAAAAATAAACTCTCTCCTTTGCTCTTAAAATAGACCAAATTTGTACAGATAGGGCATTATTGAACGATCTATTCATTTCAGTTACACAACAGGGAATGAGCTGTTATGGTCAGTGCAGCAAACACAGCAAAGGTATTGATGCGGGGTGGGATTGGAAGTTTTGCTGCTGTGACCTCATCTGTACAATTGCAGAAGAACATCTAGCCTGTCTCTGCTACCTTCTTAAAGTCCCCTCTCCTGTTCCCTGGCATCCCATCTCCCTTCCTTGAGGAACCCAGTGTCTTCCACTACAGGACGGAAGGAATGTCACCCAAAGCATACTCCATCCATCAGCTGCCCTTGTTTTCCATAAAACAAACGTACAAACAAAAGAGCTCAATGTGTCTAAAACTGAGTTTACCTTTGCCCCTCCTCCTGTGGTTTCTATCTCAGTGAATGGGCACAAGCATCTACCAAGCATAAAAGCTACAAAAAGAAGAATCATCCCAGACTTCTCCCTGTCTTTACCTGCATATTCAGTCAGTTGCTGAGTCCTAATTCCACCTCCTCTTCCTATCTTCTGACTCCTTTTCTGTTTTCCCAGACTTGTCTTTTGACATCCTCCCTCACATCTCCTGCCATATGCTTGTTAAGCTGTTCCCAGTCCCTGTACCCCCAACTCTGTATCAGCCAAGTGATTCTTCACATACCACTTTCCTGTGGTTTTTCGCCCTCCCCTGTTTCCTCTTGGACCATAGTTTTCTTTGTTCTCCTATTGCACCCTCCCCTCCATCAGGAAAGTAAGGATTGGATTTTGTAGCACTTGTTATTGACTTATCTTTCTTCCTCACTAGCTGGCGTTCTGAAGTCAGAGACATCTTCCTATTTCTCTGCCTGTCTTTAGTGCTGAGCACAGACAAGCTGCTTATTAAGTGGTAGGTGAGTGCATTGCTGGACTTGGGCATTATAAAAGAGGAACTTGTGAAGTCAGTTGATGAGCTGGGTGGGGAACATGTTCCTGACTTTAACATATTGTTTGACCCTGGTGGGCTGCCAGTAAATTCCTGTGGAATTCTGTTGAATACTGAAGCAGGAAGGCTTTCCCGCCCTGCACAGTCCTCCTTCCTCCCTGATTCTATCAGGTCAGAAGAGTGGTCATCATTAGTGAAGTTATACTAGGTTTCAGTTTGTTGGGTCCTGTTACATATAACGTGACTGAGCAGTAATAAGTCAGGGAGCCCAAATGGCTGGTTGACGTTTAACCTGTTCAACTGTCATCTCTGCAGAAGGTCCAAACAGTTACTTCAAAACTTTAACTCATTCCAAAGTCTACTTCTGTTTAACAAATTCAATTACTGAATCTATGGTTATCTATTAAATGCTGGTTGTGTTTAAAGGGATTAGTAATATTTAAACAGAATAAGCTTTAAATATGTGACACAAAATAACTATTCAATAAACATCACTAGAGTAATTGGCTAATCATTTGTGAAAAGAGTAATTTTTTAGTATTTCAATGTAATATATAACAAGGAGAAAACTAAGGTAAGTGTTTTTCACAGAAAATCAGAGAAATCATGGACATGAAGCCAATGAAGAAAGCAGCTCACTAGGTAAATACTAAAACTTCTCTGTATCTACTAAACACAACCACTGTATATAAATGCAGATAATATATTTTATAGATTTCAGATATTGATTCAATGATACAACATTATAAGTATCAATGATAAAGAAAAAAATGCCACTAGTCTAACTATGGTATACCATAAATTGTAATATATAACTAGATTTTAAAGATGTTAAAATGTGAAAGAAAAATGTGCCTCTTGGAATCAACAAAGTAGAGTAGCAAACTAGAAGAAAAAATATGATAGAAAAATTTCATCTGCTCACCTGTACTGGGAATGTACTTTTGTACAATATTTTAGCAGTTATATACCAAAAAGTTTAAAATATGCACCCTTTTGACACAAAATTTTATTTCTTGAATTTATGCTGAGGAAATAATCAAGAATGCATAGAAGATTAAGCTACATATTTGTTCACTGCCATAATATTGTTGCTGAACTTTCTCCTTAGTTCAGCTAAAAGCAGGCTCTTGTTACACACGACCAGGAAAGATTAGGCTCGCGGACACATAGAAGGGTGAAGAAAATGGAATTTATTGGGCGAAGAGGAAAAAGGAAAATGAACTCTTAGCAAAGCAAGAAAGGGTCCTGCTAGCAGGTTTTCTGCCTCACAGATTGAATCCCAGGTCACCATACAGCTGAAGAGAGCATGCTCCTCCCCTGCATAAGGTATGAACTCCCCATGGCCCCACCCATTTCCCCCAGGGCACATGTCGGGCTCCAGTACACTGTGGGCATGCCCAGACAAGCCCTGGGCAGGTTCCCTCGTTTGCACAAAAGCTTCTGATGTAAACTCTTGTGGGGCAGGTTGCAGATTCTCTGGGGACCCCTTTTTATCTGTATAGGCATTTAACTGTCTCAATATTTATAAAACTGAAATATTGGGAACAAAATATTAACAGAAATCAGTGATTAGTTGAATAAATTATAGCATATCTATGTCAGGGCACTATCCTTGATATTTAAAAATAATGCTGTAGATGAAGAGTAATTGGCATGGGAAGATCTTCACTGCATGTTTTGGTTCCAGGATTTTTTCTAAGAAAATATCCATAGACATAGTTATATAGATATGAATACATAGAAAAAATATTGGAACTAAATTTATATTAGAGGTAGTTACTGAGAGTGGTACATAATGAGAAGTATATTCTCTTCTTTTTCTTTATTCACATATTTTAGTTTTTAAAAATTATCGTCTATAATAGCACAATAATGAAAAATTATTTTCTATTTAAATGAAAGATGTGTCTTTAATAAACTGATAAGATTGACACAGTAAAGGGAGAATACAAATGAAAATGTTTTTGGAGTAACAATAGAAACTGTTCTCTTGATTTTGGTCATTTGTAGCAAAGCAGTATCTCCCATTTTATTGCTGTGTTGATTAGTAACAAATCAATTTTCTATTTGTGTCTCATATGTGTATTAAGACTCTAACCTCTGCAAGCAAATCCAACAAAATCTTGTGAGAAATTTCAGAAACAATGTTTGAGAAGAAACCCGGGACTTAAAAATGAACAAGTATGCAGTGTAAGCTGACCTTGAGTGTCACATTTTAACATCTGTTTTTCATGTTGTGATACTTATTTGAGATTTGGTATTATTAAGTAATGAGGAAAATATCTTACTGTTTCCATAGGTAACGGGGCAGTAACTTGAGGCTGATGGATTGGCATGCTTTGTCTGTATAATGTAATTCAAATAAAGTCATAACATTTTGGCTATGGCTCATGTGTCAAGCATTTATACATTTTTTTTTTTTTGTCTGATAAATGAACTGCTAGGCTTTCTGACTGGTTAATAATAGTCCAATAAAAAGGGAGAAAAATAGCTTTTGACCTTCCATTTAATATTACTACCAGCAGTTTGGAGATTTAGGTGTATATGTAAACATTTAAAAATGATTTTGCATTGACTTTTTTTTCAGAAAAAGAACTTTTAATATTTTAAATAATACTTATTGAAATGGATTCCACATACTTGTGTCTGAGCCAGTGTCCACACTATTGCCACAAACTCTGGGAACAAATTCTTATATATCAGATACTATACAAATATTTATTTATAATCTTTTCCCACAGACTATATGATATAAAAATTTAAAAGCCAATATTAAAGTAGACCACTTAAAAAAGGTAACTGAATATAGTCCCCTAAGGAATTAAGGCCAATTTGGAAATTTCATATGTGACATTCCTAAAATACAAATTTCATCATGTTATTCTACGTCTAAACTTTTTAGTATCTCTTCATTGTCCTTAAGATAAAGCCCGATGCCCCGACATAGCTTATGAAGCCATATGTGATCTAGCACCTGCCATTCTCCCTGGGCTCATCTTTTCTATGAAACCCCTTTGATCCTTCAGGGCATTGACTGTGTCCTGCTTTCTGGTATATAGAACTTTGCACATGCTGTTCTTTCTGAAACTGTCTGGCCATTCTTTTCCTTTCCCTGTTCCTCAGTCTGCTATATTCCAATCTTTTTCACATTCTGTTCCAGGCTCTAATCATCTCTAATTTATTGCGATTATTCTTTAAGTTTCCTGCTTTCCTAGCTGCTGGTGTGTGCATCACATCAGCTTTCCACCCCTGACCATCGTCTCCCTCAGGGACTTTCAGTTGAGCTTGTTGTTCCCACATTGGATTCTTTGGCATTATACCCAGCTGGAGCCAGCCCCGGAGAGCCACATGCCAGGGGGCCTTAAAACCTGTGGGACTTCTACAAGCCACCAACTCAAGAAGAGCAAAACTGAAAACCAGGAAAAAGATTTTCAAAGCTGAAAACCAGGCAAAAGCCCACAACAGAAAAATTGAAAGCAGAATGAGGTTGAGAAGTGGGTCCACACAGAGAGAGAACTGGGATGAAGATGAGAATCTGATGGGCAAGATGAGGTGAGAGGCAACGAAGCTGCTGAAATAAAGGTGCATAAGGGAAAAGACAGGATTACGGAGAGCTCAGGTGAGACGTCACTTAGTAGTAGGCAGAACACATGCAGTTCTGTTTTGTTTTGTTTTTGAGACAGAGTCTCACTTTGTCACCAGGCTGGAGTGCAGTGGCACGATCTCAGTTCACTGCAACCTCCGCCTCCTGGGTTCAAGCGATTCTCCTGTCTCAGCCTCCTGAGTAGCTGGGATTACAGGTGTCTGCCACTATGCACAGCTAGTTTTTGTATTTTTAGTAGAGATCATGTTGGCCAGGCTGGTCTCGATCTGCTCACCTCAAGTGATCCACCTGCCTCGGCCTCCCAAAGTGCTGGGATTACAGGAGTGAGCCAGCTCACCAGGCTGGGAGCACATGCAATTCGGTACAACAGTCAGAACCTAGATTGTAGTCCCCCCACTGCCAGACCTTGGGTAAGTCACTTAATCTCATGTGATTTTAGAGTCACATGACCTTGGTTAAGTCACAAACTCCTTGGTTCTGAGTAATCTTATCTATTAACCGAGGAATTTGTGTTAGATCTGTATTTGTCAGAAGGCACATAAATGTTAAGAGGTACAAGGGGAAATGGAGGGGTTCACAAAGTTATGGCATAAAAATGCCGCATCTTGGATTACTTTTATATAATGGAACAATTTTAAACACTTTAATCCACAGAATAATGGAGATGCTATGTATCAAATGCAAAATTTGAACAGTTTTAGGAAGAAGCATGAGAATACAAAGAAATTTTATTCATGGTGAGGCCTTTGTAGACTTTTCTGCAAAATGTCTATAGAATCTTCGTTTGCTCCTTTCTACTATTTGGGGCCCTTCAGTGGACATGTATGAGAAAGAATGTCTACAGTATTAGACCCTTTCCAGCTTAAACAAGAAATTTTAAAAAATAAGTTTAGCATAATATGTTAAATATGAAGTTTACTAATAACAGTGTTCTGTCTCTTTGAAATAAGTAAAATGATAACCTTTAGATGGCCAGATGCCACTCAGTGTCATGTTTTTGCTCCTTGAGTGTATGTATTTTATAATAAAATGCATCGCTTACATATCATCTTTGAATGAGACTAAAAGATGCATGGTGTTTTGACAACATGAAGAAAGCTTTACAGCATGTTACGTAGAAGATTTTAAAACACTGAGCTGTGTTTTCTCTGTGTATTTCTAGGTTCTACCTGGATTTGTAAGATTCAGGTTATTTTTCCTGGTCTTTATGAAACTCATCTTCCAAAAGCACATAAGGTTAATTTTTTGAAATACTCAAACATTGAGGAAACAAGAGTCTGGTCACGGCAATTGGAACTTTTGATGTGCCCACTCCAGTGACCTGTTCATGCAAGAGCCTTAAGTAAGCAGGTTCTGGAGCCAGTCTGTAGCAGCTCTTTTCACTTTGAGAATGTGTTGATGGATTAAAGCAGAACCTGAAGAGTCCACTATCTGCCTGTTGCTGTGTAAATGAGAACCTCCTTGATTTTTTTTTTTTTAAGGAGGGGAGGGTGTAAATCTCAATGCTGGGAGGTAACCAGATTAGCATGAAACAGAGCTCCCATTTTATACTATGCCTCATTCAAGCGACAGTCATTTGAGTTGCATTGTTTTTTTTCATCTCCTGAGAGTTATTATGAACTTTCTTTACTGAGTGTTATATTTAAGCCCTTTGAATAGTTTGCTGTCTGCAACAGTGGCGGCAGATAAGCAATGTTCTCAGAGGATCTCACTGTGAGACATAATGGTGAAATGCTGCAATGCATGGAATTTTATTTGAGACTACAATTTAATAAATGATGGACTATCTCTAGGTCAAATCTCGTCCAGATCAGTCACTACCATCTGTCACCAAGCTACAGCCAACTGGCAGCTGGTTGGTGGCCATTATGAAATCCATTAGAAATTTCAGTTCATTTCTTAACTAATGGACATACTTATGCACAGAACATTCCATAATTGACCATTTTCTTAAGTGGCTTCATTCTGTTCCTGTTTTAGGATGAACATTCTTCGCCTCTGAGGAATATGTCTTCTAGTTTGCAGTTGCTACAGTGGAGATGAAGTTTCTTCTATCTCTGTTTATGCATATGTGTACAATCTGTGAAGGGATAGTAGCTTTGAAACTTCATTTTTCATAGCTTGAAGTTGAAAATATGATTCCCAATGAGACTTTTAGAGTTGGACACATTTCAAGAATGTCCTTTCATGGGAGATTTTAGTATTGCATCCATATATTCTGGTCCCAGATGAAAGAAGGTCTTATAGAAACCTTCAACCAAAGGAAGAAAACCTATCCATTTAAATATGAGGAAAGCTGGCCTGTGTTTGGACCATTCTCCCAGTAAGTTTTTTTTTTTTTTTTTTTTTTTTAACAGTTTTGAATGATTTCATCCACCACAAATTGACAGGGTAGAGGACTTCCTCTTTTGGAGTTGCCAACAAGCACATTTTGCTACCAGTCAATTCTCCTAAATAATAAGTATGATGAATAACAACCAATTGGGGAAAAATTTTCAGCATGAAAAAAGGCTGACAGCTGTGAAAACAAAGCAAGCATGCAGCTCTGCAATTTAAAGAAATCCTTGCTCACGCTTATACTATAACGTAGGGGAGTCTCTTGGCAGAGTCATATTTTGCTCTATTTTTACATAATAAATACACATATAATCAAGTGAAAATAGACCTTGGTGCAGTGCTCAGCCATTCTCATGCTGTGGCGATATAGTTCATTTAACCGCTCCTTGGGAATGTTGGCTCATTCAATGAGAAAACAGTCAGTTTTAGATCAAATATAGTCAACTCCAAAAAGCAGTGAAGCCAGTTGCATGAAAATGGACTTTTTTGCTTTTCCACTGGCTGTTTTCAAATCACATTAGATCAGACAAAAAATGGAGTGAGCCTTCTAAAACTTCATGGTTTGTCCACTATAGCTTTATTTTATTTTATTATTTTTTACTGATATATAATAGTTATACATATTTTGGGAAATACATTTTAATATAATGTTCAATACTTATCTGTTTCTTCTCTAAGCTGAATTACCATATTGCTACTTCTGTTGTCTTATCATATCCTTTCAAACTGCCCCTTTGAGGTGAAGTATTTTTTTTTTCTTGGTCAATAAAATGTCTGTGTGACACATTGAAGCGATATACTTCAATCTGATAACATTATTTATAAACCCTATAAATCATAAACAACATCTGTACTCTCAAGTTATGTTTGCCATCTGAAATGAATCTACCAATAGTGCTGTGTAAGTGATTTGCTTCCGAGATCAGCTAGCTTGGAGTCCAAATACAGAAAGCAAACTGGCAGAGTTTTCATGAACTTTTTTTACAGGACTATTGAAACTTCTACTTAACTAAAATGACAAAATGCTTCCAAAGCTTTGTGCTTTGTAAAACTGGAGGTCATACTGCTTCATAAGCACACCAGATGCCTTTATATGAGGCTGGACCTTAGGCACTCAGCTGGCTCTGTATACACAATCTCTAATTTTAGCGGGAGGTAAATGAACTAGAATCTTGGTCCCACCATTTCTTTGTGACCTTTGAAAGTGACTTGACTTCTCCGATCTGAGTTTCCTCAGCAGTTGACACAAGTTTGAAAGGAGAGGATGGCTGTGGGAGTGGCTGCTTCTGTACCCACTCTAGTGGTGTTTAGCAGTGTTCTTCTCTTTCTCCATATCTTTCCCCTTTCCAGCGGGTGTAGCGGCTGTGGCTTTTTCTTTCCTTTTTGCATCTATTTGCAGAAATATACAAAATGCACGAATTCCTCCACAAATAATGGAGCAGATGA